ATATCTCTGGAACCCATCGGTCGATTTTGATGATTGACACCTCTTTTGAACCGTTAGAGCCAATAGAATCGAGAGGGAAGTTCGCTGCCCTGAGTTTTGATTGTGGAATATCAGCTTTCATGTGATATCTTGTTTGTGCAGATCCGATAAGTAATAAGGTATTTCTACCATGAGTTCTGTGCTAAGTGCGTTTGCATTTTTTCGCTCCGGGCTAATTCAGACCCTTTAGGCGTGTTCACAGCGGAGTACTTTTCCCGTTTAGTTCCGATAGTGCCTTGAATTTTGCGTTCACACCAAAAAGAGAACTTAGTTCAGAGAACTTTTACCCCCATTTGTAGTGCCTGCTAGAGAGGTGGTACTATCCTGGGGAGAAAAAAGTACCAATTTCTACTGAAGCCAGTCTCCAAATCCGGTGTCTTCCGGCCGGGGACTTCGGGTGGCAGTATACGCCATGAAGTGGTTTGCGGCCTGCCAGTAAACCCAAAGCAGAAGAAGAAGAAGTGACGTCAGCGGCTTCATTTGCTTAATCTTCCCTCAGGGAAGTTATTCCGGTGTGAACGCGGTCTGTACTTAGTTCCATGGGGCACTAAGTGCTGGGCACTAAGTACGGCAAAGTACTTGGTGTGAAAGCGGCTAATGCATTTTGGTAATTTTTATTGAACATATGGGCAACTCCCCTCCAAGGCTCTTGAATGGCAGGAATGTGCAGTTACAGTTCTTGACGTTTTTCTTTTTTACCCCCATTCTATTTATCCAGGTGAAGCTTTACAAGAGTGACAACATGGACAACCCGATCAACAGCATCTCTCTAGGACAGTCCCTCTTCTTCAACTTCCCTCCACTGGAAAGAGATGGAGAGGTATGCTTGTGTTTCTGCTCTTAGGTCAAATTAGGGCTGGATCAATGTTTGTAGTACATTACAGTTTTAATATTCTTCTTCTTAGGACTGAACTCTGAAAAAACAAATAACTTAATTTGTCCCTAGTGGGGCACTTGGTTATGCAGCAGTGGGTTGCAAACATTTAGCATACAGGGTAAATGAATACAATATAAAGAAGAAAAAAAACAATGAATGTGTAAAAGAAAATATTTAAGTGAATGAAATAAATGTTATAGGGTTTTTAAAAATTGTTTGTATTGTTTTAACCAGAATAGGTCAATGAAAAAAATATACAACACTTTCTGTTGGCCAAAATGACTTGCCAAATCTAAAGAAGAGATTTCTGCCAACTTAGTCGGCTTACTTCCAGTTAGCCCTATGCTAATTGGATTGGGGATACATTTAATAGTGCTCCTCTCATAGACTATTCAAAACCTTATTGGAGCAAAATTATCAAATTCTGATAGTCAAACCAGTCATCTCACAGGGGTTGTGACTCCCGAATGTATTAACGCATGGTTATACAACCGCAACAGTGTTGGCTTCAAGAATAACTACCGTAATTTTCGGACTATAAGGCGCACCTGAATATAAGCCGCAGCAGCTAAATTGAATGATGTGTACATATATAAGCCGCACTGGACTATAAGCCGCAGGTGTTTTAATGTTTAATTACCATATGTAAGGGTTCGTGCACAGAGGGGATTGTCGGGAAAGAGATGGCTGTTTGAGGAAGCTCCCATT